ATTAAAGGGCAACTCCATCTTTGCTGTGGCTCAGGGTAAAACCTGTGCTAAATCCTGACTGTTCTCTTTCTCTTCCCTCCCACATCTCATTTATTAGCAGGTCCTTTAGAATTCATCCAGAATCTTATTTAACACCATCCCCATGTGGTCCATGTGCTCATCAGTTCTCATGTGCATTATTGCAGTAATCTCTTAGCTGGTCTTCCCATTTCTGTTCTTGCATCACCATCAGATCCTTTTAGAACAGAAGTCAAATCAGGTTCTTGGTCCTACTGCTTCCCTTCTCATTCACAGTCAAAAGTTCTTCAGTCATATCTATGGCTGTATATCTGACCCCCTCTTTAACCTTCTCTCTTTTACTTTTTCTCTTGCTTATTCACATCTAGCCACACTGGCCTCCTTATTTATACATCTATAGTCTGTCTTCCCTTACTAGAATGTTGGCTTTATGAGGTCAAGAACTTTGTTCTATTTTGATCATTGTTGTATCCCCAGTGCTAGACTATTGCATGACCCATGGTAAATTGTCAAATCTTTGTTGAATGAATGCTTTATAATCTTGTTTCTCTCTCTCTCAACATATTACTTTCTCTTTTTTGATCATAGCTTTGTTGGGTAACAAGAGGTAGTCATGGTAAGATTTGTTAATTAAAGGGCATATTTTAGATAGTTACAATTTTTTCTTAGACTACATAGATAGCATCTCTCCTATGGAAGGATAGGACTAGGTTTGGTAGTAAGAATGTTCTGTATCCTTGTCAGCATTTCCTCTTTCTCTGGTCTTTGGCTCTTCCTAATGCCATCACTATCACTGCACACTTTTTTTTTTTTTTAAATTTTAAAAAGGTATTTATTTTAGAAAGAGAGAGAGAGTTGGGGGAGGGGCAGAGGGAGAAAATCTCAAGCAAACTCCCCACTGAGCTTGATCCCATGACTCATGAGATCATGACCTGAGCCGAAACCAAGAATCAGACATTTAACCTACTGAGCCACCCAGGCACCCTCACCGCACACTTTTTAAAAATGCTTTTTACTTGCTTTGGAAGGGGCAGGGTTACTAATACCTCTTTACCTTTTAGCCAAAGGACTTCTTCTTGATCCTGAAATAATTTATTAAGAAAAAATGCCATAGAGAGTCAAAAGACCTGGGTTTGAGTCCTGGCCCTCCCATTGGCTATGACATTAGTCACCTAACTCACTCTTGTTTTCCCTCCCTTGTTACATGAGAATAAATAATAATAATAATGTCATCATAAAATTGAGAGAGTAAAGTGAGATGAAGTATTTGGAAATGGTTTATAAACTCTTGAGTGACAGGCTGGTGGGAAATGAAATTAGGTTCGGATCAGCAGCCTTTTTTTGTGTTTTTTCAAGAATTGCAACGTGCCAGCCTCCATCGTTAGCTTTGAGGATTCTAATGTGGACAACAGGGTCTTGAATGTGACTTCTCTTTCCCTTAATGCCCTGCCTAAGTCCAGGTGCTCATCATCTCTTTTGGATCTTTGCTAGGGTTTCCTAAGCTGGGCTTTACATTACCAGGGTCTGATTCCTCTTGACTTCTCACCACTGCTCCTAGTGTTATCTCCCTAAAAACCCAAGTTGATTATGTCACTAATCTCTGTAAAGATCTCTGTCATTTCTCCACTGCCAACAAGGAGCCTCAGTTTACATCCTGGTCCAGCTTCATTTCCTATCACTAGTTCCCTGTAGACACCAGGCTTCTGTCTCACTCAATTGCTCAGTCTTCTCTGATATGGCAGGGAAGAGACCAACTGTGACTCTGTACATTTAAGTCCTCAGCCTGGAAGGCCTGCCTTCTCCAGTTTTGTTTTTTTGTATCCTTTTGGACCCAGCCTTGACACTGACCCCTCCATGACTTGAACCTTCTACTCCCCAAGGAGAGTTAGTTTCTATAATTTTGTCTGTTCCCACAGCACTTTGTGGGTTTTTTTGGACATCGTGTTTATTATTCTGTGGGCTTTTGAAGTGCTGGGATTATGTCATTTAGGGTAATATAATGTAACAGTCCACCTAAGAAGGTATAGTGGATTGAGTGGTGGCCTTCGAAAAGATATACCCATGTCCTAATCCCTGGAACTTGTGAATGTGACTTTTATTTGGAAAAAGGGGTTTTTGCAGATGACAGATGCCATTAAGTTAAGGATCTTTTTTTTTTTTTTTTTAGGAGACACCGTGTGTGAGCGGGGTGGCGAGGGGTTTTTTTTTTTTTTTTTTTAGGAGACACCGTGTGTGAGCGGGGTGGCGAGGGGCGGGGGCAGAAGGAGAGGAGGGAGGATCTTAGGCTTCACGTCCAGCGCGGAGCCCGACTGGGGGCTCAGTCTCACGACCCTGAGGTCATGACCTGAGCCAAAACCAAGAGTCAGACGCTTAACCTGACTGAGCCACGCAGGCACCCCTAAGTTAAAGAGCTTGAGATGAAGTCATCTTGGATTATCTGAGTGGAGCCAGTTCAGTGACAAATCTCCACACAGAGGAGAGACACAAAGAGAAGAGAAGGCCATGGAAAGCCAGAGGCAGAGATGGCACTTGTGTAGCACACCCTCAGCCACCAGGAGCTGGGGGAACAGGGGACAGGCTCCCCTAGAGCCTTCAGAGGGGGCGCAGGCCTGCTAACACTGGGATTGCTGACTTCCAGCCTCCAGAACGGTGAGAGAATAAATCTGTTGTTTTAAGCCCCCCAGTTTGTCGTAATTTGTCACAGCAGCCCTAGGAAACTAATACAGAAGGTCATAGTAGAATGACTGGAACATAGTAAACATCATTGTCATCACCAACAGTAACACTGTCATCATTGTGATTCTTTTTTTTTTTTTTAAGATTTTATTTATTTATTTGAGAGAGAGAGAATGAGAGACAGAGAGCACGAGAGGGAGGAGGGTCAGAGGGAGAAGCAGACTCCCCGCCGAGCAGGGAACCGGATGCGGGACTCGATCCCCGGGACTCCAGGATCATGACCTGAGCCGAAGGCAGTCGCTTAACCGACTGAGCCACCCAGGCGCCCCATCACTGTGATTCTTAAACCTAGGATGGGACCTGAAGAGCGGTATGTGCTCAGAAAATAGTGACTGGTTGAGTAAAAATACAGTTCTTCCCCATGAGCTTCCAGTGTGTTGTAACGGCCATGGTATTGTCGAGAAGTGTGCTTAAAGAGAGCTTCCAAAATAGATCCCCTTTTAACTGTGTTGTTTTAAATGTCTTTTTGTATGTCTGTGTGAAGGGTGGTAGTGGATGTTTTAAATTGTTTTTTTTAGAACCATTTTTACACGGTTTTCCATAAATTTTCCTTTTCGAATAAGACGAATTTTGTCAAAATAGAAGTCATAATGTCCCCTGTTCCCCCCAAAACAGAAAAATGAGCAGTTATAGTTCTAACAATAAAAAAAAAAAACTTAAAATATGTCTTCTTTTTTCCTATTAGAATGTTATTTAGTAAAATTAATTTCATGCTAGGGATTGGCCTTGAAATACAATGTAGAGAGGTACTTCGGAGCAATAAAGTAATTTATTTCATTCTGCTATGAGGTAGTTGAAAACCAAAATTTTCAAATAATCATAAAGCCAAATTTGGTAGGCCATATGTATCATTTGTATGTAAATTTTGGTTTGCCACTGGAAGCTAGGTCTATGACCTAATTTTTACTGATGTTTTATAAATTAGTATAAAATAAAAGCTAATGTTTATTGAGCTCTTACTCTATGCTAGGCACTGTTCCAGGCTTTTTACATGAGGCTCTTTACATGAATTAACTGAATTCATTCTCACAGCCATCCTATTCTCTTTACCTCTTCTCTTAACTCAAGACGATGCTGAGGCACGGAGTGGTCAGTATCACGATAGCTGACGTGACAGAGACTCAGAGTGGCCATGGCTCATACCCTCTGTACTTTCCTGACTCTTCATGTTACTGTGTCAGCTTTCATTGTTGAATACAATTTGAAATGGAGATTATCAGTAAATCTAAGTAAAGCGTCCTCATCTAATTCCATAGTGGTTCAGACTTGAGTGTGCTTATTTACCCACGGAGATTCTGATGTGTGGGGCTGGGAATATGCATTTTTAGTAAGTACCAGAAAGTTTGGGTCTTACTTGGAAATACATTGATGTAGTTACCATACACACCTCACAGTTCATTTCACACGAAGGCCCAGGGTGGTGGCATTGGTGGTGATGGTGATGGTGATGGTGATGGTGATGGTGTGCTTATGTTAGGCCATTCTTTACATATATCTGTGTTCCGGGGTGAGCCCATTGAATACGTACATTTATCTAAACTTATGCCTCAAGTGCCTACACTATTAATCACATTTTTTTTTTTGGTAGAGAAAGAATAAAAAGCTAGCATCAGAAGTTTGTTTTTTTGTTTTGTTTTGTTTTGTTTTTTACCTTTTGAATGAGCCTCAAAATAAGGTCTGTTTGATCTGAGGAAATTGTAGTCTGTAGACAGAAGAAAATAAACATGACATAAGATTTCTACCCTAACAGGGTTTTTGTATATTTATTTTTTGTTTAGAAGAAAATTTTATTTTATTTTTTTAAAGATTTTATTTATTTGACAGAGAGAGACACACAGAGAGAGAGGGAACACAAGCAGGGGGAGTGGGAGAGGGAGAAGCAGGCTTCCCACAGAGCAGGGAGCCCGATGCGGGGATCCATCCCAGAGCCCTGGGATCATGACCTGAGCCGAAGGCAGACGCTTAACGACTGAGCCACCCAGGTGCCCCTGGAAGAAAATTTTAATGTACATTCTATTTTACAGTAGAGCAATAATCCATCATTTGGGCTACTCTGAATATTAACTGTAGGCAAGGGGGCATCTTTTCTCTTAGGTTTGGTAAGAAACTTTCACCCATTTGTACTGCCAAGAAGCCTGATTATGTGTGTTTTAGAATGTAGGGAAAACACTAAGCTTGCAGTTTTACTAACTTCAGTATCTTAATTGTATATTGAACTGGCAAAAATACGTTTTTCTTTCTTCTAGGGAGTCACAAATCACATTGAGCGAAAAAGCAACCTGTGTTTTCTGCAGTTACAAACAAAATGAATATTCCCATGCTACTGCAACATTCTCACCGGCGTTTCCTAAAAGGCCTTTTAAGAACACCTTTCCATCGCTACCACTTCATCTTTCACTCAAGTACTCATCTCGGATCAGGAATCCCTTGTGCTCGGCCATTTAATTCTCTTGGACTCCATTGTACAAAATGGATGTTGTTGTCAAATGGTTTAAAGAGAAAATTATGTGTACAAACAACCTTAAAGGAACACACAGAAGAACTTTCTGATAAAGAACAAAGATTTGTGGATAAACTTTATACCGGTTTAATCCAAGGGCACAGGGCCTGCTTAGCAGAGGCCATAACTCTTATAGAATCAACACACAAGAGGAAAAAAGAGTTAGCCCAGGTGCTTCTTCAGAAAGTATTAGTCTACCACAGAGAACAAGAACAAATAAATAAAGGAAAACCACTAGCATTTCGAGTGGGTCAGTCTTTTTTTTTTTTTTCCTTTCAGTCTGTTCAGTAAATATTTTTGTAAATTTTCTGTTTTAAGATAAGTCTACATAGTTTGTAATCTAATGGGAATTCTTTTTTTCTTCTCAGAATTTTGGGCTGGATTTTAATCCCCCTCCCCCCCCCTTTTTTTTTTTGCAAATATCGGTCTTGTTATGTTGGGGGGAAAAGTGTCGTGGTCATTTGAACCAAGTCTCTGTATTTTAAGAGAATAATATAAGATTTCTATTTTGGCCAGAAGCTGTGGCTCCCAGAATAGAATATGCATATGAAGAACTGTTAACTGGTTTACTCCTTTCTCTTGGTAGTCCTTCTGCTTGATGGTCTGAAGTGAATGCCTTGTTTTAGTATTTATATCAACTATAAATATCCTTATCACATTTCAACATTCTACTTCTTAGGTGTTTCATTAGTCTTTCTAGGGCAAGTCTCTCTTCTTTCAGGTACTTTTTGTTAGAGTTTCTGGGAGTTGCTTGGCTTTAAGCACAGCCATCTCAATACCAAAATGTGTTTTAAAGGAGAGACCATATTCATTTGCTGTCTAAAAATATTAGAAATTCACTCGATTTCTTGAACAATTGACTAGGTTCCGCAATTGCAAATAAGCTTGCTATATTTTCTTAATTGTGCATTTTTAAACAGTTTAGATATGTTTAGGTGGGATGAGAGCGCTTCATGATGGCAAAGTAGGTGATTCCAACCAACTTTCCCACTAAAACTTGAAATGGTGGACAAAGTGCAGAAATTTTATGAGGATTGAGTAAATACTTAAAAATTGACTGGCATTATATTAGACTTACATCTCAGTTTAATGATATGGGATTAAAACTTTCTAATTTTATGGTAACAGGGTATGAATCTTTAAAGATTATTTCAAAAAGAGTTCACCAACCGATGTTGGTACTAGTCTGCATTGTTCATACATCCTAGTCTTCTGCCTTCACTGAAGGAACTCTCATTTTGAGAGTACTATGTTGACTGTTAATAATCTTTATGTATTGTAGACAGACAAAAATAGTAGACTCCCAAAGAGAAATTCCTGTTATGACAAAGTGTTTACTTATTACGGCTAAATGCTGTTTGAAGAGAAAATATCCCAGAAATATACAGAGTTAACCAGCAACTCACTCGTAGCTAGTAACTCACAAATTTTCATTGCTGTTCTGGTTCTTTCATCTTGGTCTTGTGAGGCCAGATAAACCTGTGTCTTTATGGTAGCTATTTTATCACCATCATAACTACAAGTAACAAATGTTTGTTCGGCACCCATACAGATGTTTAAGACAGAGACCTGCCCTGAAAATTGCAGTAAGGAGCCAAGCATGCCGTATGACCTACGCATACTTTTGAATGAAATTACAATTAAATGCTTCAGTGTTATATACTTTATGCCAGGTGCTGTTCTAAACATTGCAAATATCAACTCCTCTAGTTCTTACAACAACCTGAAGAGAAACCTGAAGATGCTAGTGCATCTATTTTATTGCAGAGTATACTCAGGTACAGAATGGTTAAGTAACCTCACCACGATTGTACAGCTCATAAAAGGGAGAGCTGGAACCAGAACCGGCCACTTGGCTCCAGAGTGCGTGCTCTTATCTGCCATGCTCGGTGAACTCTCCAAGCAGGGAAATTTCCTGCCTTTCTTAAGACAAGCTAATTTTTTCAGGATTCAGTTTAAATCCTATATTTTGAGTTATGGGTAGGATGAAAAAAAATTATCTTTCATAAATAGAAAATTTTCTCAATCCCTGGGAATTTCCAGAGTACTGAGTTGTTTTTCCAATGGGAAGAGCAAAGTGTCCAGCATTGGGGTAGGTGGGATAATTACTGATCATGGTGAGAGGTGGGCAGATGTTGTGGAAACTCAGCACATTAACAGTATAGGCAATGAAGTCTTTCCAGAAAGATCTGTGTTATAGTAAAAGGGCCGATCATATTTTGTAATTTTACAAAGTGAATTTGGAGAACATAGGGAACTCAGAATTGTTTTCTTCCTATATCCCTATTGCTCAGGAACCTAGATAAATAAATGGTTTTTTGTTTACTTTAGGAAATGGTAAAATACATTAATGATGGTTTTAATACATGAGAAATAGAAGATAAATCTAATATTTGAATAGAACTTATCATTGTGCTGCTCTCATTTCTTTCATTAAATTAGAAGGTCTCTCTCTACTGTAGGATTGTCTGGGCCCCCTGGTGCTGGAAAATCAACCTTTATAGAGTATTTTGGAAAAATGCTTACTGAGAGAGGGCACAAATTATCTGTGCTAGCTGTGGACCCTTCTTCTTGTACTAGTGGTGGTGAGTATCACTGACTTTTTTTTTTTTTTTAATTGCAGAGCAGGGGCTCAAACGGCTCTCTTATAATTTAATGGGAATTTGCACAGTCTGGTGACTTCTAACCTCTCGCTGAGTTTGATCTCACTGAAAGAAGGGAGTTTTGGGGGCGGCGAGGTGGAGATGGAGGGAGGTGGTTTGGGGCCTTGGGCTCCTTAGCTTGTGGGTAGTCAAGGACGAGCTTGGGTACTTAGAGAACTAGGAAAATGGGTGCCAGAAGTTGAAGATAATCAAAAGCAACTTCCAGCTCTTTGTCTATCAAAGCTGACATTAGGCCCTCTTCCCTCCTGTTGTTTTTTCCCTGGCTGTATCAGCCCCTACACGGTTCAGAAAATGGGTCCATCCCTCGTTCGCTTTTTTCTTATATTGTTGTAACATCTCTTAAGCCTAAAAGAAAATCTTATTGCTCTTTCTAACTTGTCACCGGTTCATATTACATGTTCAGTGAAACAGAAAGCTCTTAGAGGGACCGACCGTGTAATACACTGCTGTTCTCCCTACAGCACTTAGCGTGGTGTGTCACCTCTCAGGCTCAGCAACTACTTACTGGTTTGAGGGCACACAGTCACTCCGAGTTTAGTTTAATTTGCAGCTCATGAGGGAGAAAATGAATAAACTTTGTTTCCCCAAAGGATCATTTAAGGAAAACATAAAGCATACCATATAAATATTCAGGAAAGTTTTTTCTTCCCCCTACCCCTCTCACATTGCAGTTATTCGTTTAACAAGTACTCGAATGTCTGATATAGGCGAGGCATTGTACAAGGAAGGCACTGTGTCATGTAATGGTGACTGAGACACAGTCCTCTTGGCCTTACGGAGCTACATCAAATGAGGGAAATAGACATGTGAACACAGGCCGTTACAACGTAACGTGTGTTGTGAGGGGAAAATACAGGGCGCTTTGTGGAAGTGTTTGGTTTGCATACTATGGGTTTCATGCTAAAAAAATAGAGATGATATAATCATATTTCAAGGGCTTTAGGTCAGTAGAGAGGTGGACAACAATTCCTGTTACCACCCACTGAGAACTGTAGCTGAGAACATGCACAGTTTTTGAGTCACAATAATAAAAATGTTAACCATAAAATAAAATTATACTCACAAGGTTCAAGATTAAAGCCGTGTCAGTGTATCATCTTATTTACATTCTAAGAACTTTCTTTGTTAAAGGTGTAAGGACTTGAACAAAGAATTTTTTTATAGTGGCTCTCATTTTCATACAGGGGAGAAGGCCTTTTTTCTCTTACCTTTGTAGTCTTCTATAATACTTGTAATAGCAAAAGAAAGTAATAGCTTGAGATAGTAATAGCAGATATGCTGACAAGATAGCCTGATTAAAGTTGCATAGCCATGTGGTTCTTAATTCTTAAACTAAAAATGAAGGTCCCTTTGTCAGGTAAAAAAAATAAATAGACTTTGAAAGAAAAATACGTGAGGATTAACAGGACACTGTAAGTTTCCATTTCTACTTTATTATTGCTACAGTACCATACATTTGAAAAGCAGCAAGATGCTAAAGTTGAAAAACATTACTTTATTGGCCTGTAGTTCAGTCCTTGTTGTGCTTTGGATTCACAGACCCCCTGCAGTAGCTTGGAGACCTCCCTAAGGGTCTGCAACTGACAGTTTTGGACTCACTGCTAAGACAGATGGGAGAGTAATTTCATAATGTTTAATTCAGTGTGTTAGGATCTATAGGATAATAATTTAAAGTATGGCTTTGGCAGTTTGTTGACTTACACAGAGATGGTTTCATGCAGAAAAATCACTTTAGAAGAAAGTTTTGTGTGCAATAAATAAGGTAGTTGAGATATGTGGTAGGTGTCTGCTCTAGAATTAGAACCTATGAGAACCCTACGGGCGCCTGGGTGGCTCGTTGGTTAAGCGTCTGCCTTCGGCTCAGGTCATGATCTCGGGGTCCTGGGATCGAGCCCCTCAGCAGGAAGCCTGCTTCTCCCTCTGCCCCTCCCCCGCTCATGCTCTCTCTTTCTCTCTCTCTCTCTCTCAAATGAATAAATAAAATCTTTTTTAAAAAAATTAATTAATTAATTAATTGCCTACTGTGAATAAACACTCATTACAGAATATGTAAGACATGGTTCCATGGGCAAAGACCTTCTATTAAAGCAGTTTCTCAACCTTGGCACGAATGACATTCTTTGTTTTGGGCAGCTTCCTGACATTGAAGGATGCTTAACAGTATCCTTGGCCTCTACCCACCAGATGCCAGTAGCATCCTACCCCCAGTTGTGACAAGTAAAAATCTCTCTAGACATTGCCAGATTTCCTCTGGGGGCAAACTCATCCCCATTTGAAAACCATAAAGACAACCATGTTAAGATGACAGTAAAGAACCCATCTTGGCTGGAATGGAAGATTGATTTGAGGACTAGTGGAAGCTGAAAATGGGCAGGTAAGGTAGGGCTGCATTCTGAGGGCCTTTAGTGCTAGGCAGAAGAATCTAGATTTGAACCTCTAGTCAGTGGAAAGCCATTATAAATTTTGAAGGGCTTGAAATGTTAAAACGATTAATTTGGCATCATACATGCTGTGTTGCACTAAAGCTCAATAATATGAAATCATTTTGAGATTTGGGGAGAAATGTCATAAAGCACTTCACCTGGGAATTAGCTGATTGATAATTGGCCCTTATAGGTGTTCCATGATTAGAAAATCTTAACTCTGTGTTTTAGGATCACTCTTAGGTGATAAAACCCGAATGACTGAGTTATCAAGAGATATGAATGCATATATCAGGCCATCTCCTACCAGCGGTACTTTAGGAGGTGTGACAAGGACCACAAATGAAGCTATTCTGTTGTGTGAAGGAGGGGGATATGACATCATTCTTATTGAAACCGTAGGTGAGTGTGATTTTCTATTTCATAACAGTAAAATACTATTATAACGAATGCCATAAAAAGATGAGTGACAACTAGTATCATTTTGTTCATTCAGCATATATTTTCTAAGGTGTAATTAAATACAAGATATCTCGGGTTCTATAGGAGATATGAAAATACAGGCTCTAATCCTGACCTTTAAAGAAAAGCCGTGTATTTGGAGAACTGTTATATAAGAGTGGTATGTTGTAAATGCCAGAGGAGAACTGTAAGCATTGGAAACAACACATTAACTTAACACCTGTTGTGTTTAGGCACATTTCACATGTCTATAATATTTGCTAAGAAAATTCATGTAGTTGGGTGCCTCTTTAGTACAGGGCCATGTTTTATTTCATCTTTATATCCTTAGTACGCAGCTATACACAATGAAAATACTGAAACGGAAACCCCAAGAAATTCACAGGTTTGTGGAGAGACAAACTACTGCTACTGAGTGATAAATGTTTGTGACACAACCTGACTTAGGTTTGAGGGATCAGGGAAGACTTCCGGGAGGAGGTGACAGTTGAGCTTAGTGTTGAAGGAGGAATTGGAGTGAAATAAAGAGAGTGAGAGGACATGGCCCATTTACAGAACCGCGGTTTGTTCAGGATACTTAGCCCATAGAATGTGGAGGCACATAGGGGGTGAAGAGAGATGGGGCCAGAGACCAGAAACTCCACCATGTAGGGATGGATGGAGGAAGAGTTGCCCGTGTGGTAGTAGGAGAAATCAAAGGAGAAGAGGACCATAAAAACCAAGTGCATTGGCTGGAGGTTGCATTTGACTGCTTGTCCCAGAGACTCGAAATAATTGTGACTCAAACAGAAAATGGTTTATTTTCTCGTCAACAGGAGAAGCCCAGAGGCAGACAGTCCCGAGCAGGCCTGGTGGTTCCACAGTGCCCTCAGTGTCCCAGGCTTCTGTCTCTGCTGTCCATTCTTAGCACTTAGTTTCCCTCCTCAGTGTTGCTCTTGGGTAAAAGATGGCTGATGAAGCTCTAACCATCACATCCACATTCCAGGCAGGAGGAGGAGGGAGGAGGGAGAGTATGGAAGGAGGGGAAAAGGGTAGGCAGAAGACGTGTACCTCTGGCTGGGTTAGTCCCCTTTAAAGAATTTTCCCTGGAAACCCCATCTGGTGGCTTTTGCTTTCAGTCATTGATCATCTCTGGTGGAAATTGGGTGTGGTGACTGTGGGCTTCCACCTGGTACATCGGTGCTCCTGACAACATTGGGGTAAGGAAATGGGGAAGAATAAATATGGAATGGACAACTAGAAGTCTCTGACACCCCAACAAAGGACAGAATCTTGAGAGGAGTTTCAGTGGAGCGGGTGATGTGGAAGTCAGATTTAAGTGGATTGAAATTAATGTGAAGTAATGAAGACAAGTGAGCATACATTGATTGTTTTCCTAGACACTTAGTTATAAAGAGAAAGTGAGAAATATGGTGATAATTGGAGGAGGTTGTGAGTTTTTGTCTTTTTTTCTTGGTTTGTTTAGTTTTCAGATGAGAAAGACAAGAGCACAATTCCTATGAGGTGCTGGGCGACAGGAGCCGGTAGAATAAGGAGAGGTTAAAGATAAGGCAAAACAAGGGCCCAGAGGAAATGGGAAGGAAGGAGGCTGGAGAGGAGGCAGTGAGCAGGGCTGGTATTTGGACCTGCTTATCTGTGGAGGGGGCAAGGGGGACGCTGAGGGAGCGCTGTCAGGTAGGTGCCAGGGTCGTCATCATGGGGGAGATCATGGCACAGTGAATGTTTGTAATAGCCACGGTGTGAATGGGAAAGCAGCTGACTGAGGGTGCTTAGGGGCATTGCCTTTACCGGGCAGTGCGGCGGGGGTAGTGGATGGCAGACTCCACGACCCTGTGGTGGTGCCTGTTCCTGAGCCAGTTCTCCGGCACGCTTACAGAGGAGAGACCACGGATAGTCAGACTGACCCATCGGTGCGGGTTTGCGGGGCTCCTCAGAGGCTGAGAAGGCCAGAAAGCTGAAAGTCTTGACAGGCATGGTCTAGGATTAGAACCACACTATTCAGGCTGCTCCCTGGACATCTCGAGGTTCTCCATTTAGCCGCCACGAAGGCTACTGGGAATAAGCGAGGGAGAGAGGTGTGGGGAGGCTCACAGGTGTGCTCATAGGCAAGGCAGTGCATTTAATAGATTCTTCAGAGGGGGGTGTTTAAGGTGGGATCGGCTTGAGTGTGTGAGCGTGAGTACGAGTGAATGAAATGGTGGTCAAGGTAGTTGAGAAAGTCTCATCACTATGAATAGTTTACAATTTCAGGTGTGGGCCAGTCGGAGTTTGCCGTTGCGGATATGGTTGACATGTTTGTTTTACTACTGCCACCAGCAGGAGGAGATGAATTGCAGGTGATTATGTTGACTTTTTTTCTCCCCAGACACAAAGTATACATCTCTGAAAGTACACATATCCAGTGTTGTGTTTCTGTAAATTAAGTTGCTATTAATGTAGGTAAAAGAAGTAGCATTCAGGGGCTCCTGAGTGGCCCAGTCGGTTAATCATCTGCCTTCAGCTCTGGTGATCTCAGGGTCCTGGGCTTGAGCCCCGCATCGGGCTCCCTGCTCAGCGGGGAGTTTGCTTCTCCCTCTCCCTCGCCCCTCCCCCTACTAGTACACATGCACGCTCTCTGTCTCTCTCTCTCAAATAAAAAAAAAGAAAAGAAATATCATTCATATTGGCTAAAATACCTGAGTCAAAGACACATTCTCTGTTTTTTCCTAACTTATAGTAATAGAATTTATGACCTTGGGCTAATCCTACAACTTAGATTTTTCCACCTGCAGCATGGGGAGCGAACGGGGCACAGGGACAGCTCCAGCCAAAGAGACCACTGTGGTGTGGGTGTTTGTAGGACCGAGATTGGGGCATTTTTAACTATCAGGTTATTTTTCCTCAAATGCAAATTGGAAAAAAAAATTATAAACCTTGAGGAAAACTTCAAAGACTTTGTTTATGGAAATGCAGGTGTTAGCGATAGGTGTCTTTTCTCTTTAAGCACTTAATGATGGATGGTTTTGCATCCTGCAGCATTAGCTCAGGAGAGACAGAATCCATCATGAGACAACTGGACTTGTCCCCTGCCACTCATTCATGTTGTGTCTTGATGATGTATTTCCTCTAATTGTGAATGTATTTTCTCATGTTAGTCTCTAAATTTGGAAGAGATCTTATAGATGACTTCCATAATCCCAACAGCTGGTGCTTTTGAATAATTTTTGTTGAGTAATTGTGGTTCCTAGTACCCAGGGCTTGGGAGGATGCAGAGGAAAATTAGTTAATGAAGTGTGTGTCTCTCAAAATCTTAGCATTGACTGGTGTCCCATTTTTTTTTTTTTTTGCTATAATTAAATGAAGTGTTTCTGATACATCACTGTCTTTTTCACTTCAGGGTATCAAAAGAGGTATAATTGAGATGGCAGACCTGGTAGCTATAACGAAATCTGATGGAGACTTGATTGTGCCGGCTCGAAGGATACAGGCTGAGTATGTGAGTGCACTGAAGTTACTCCGCAAACGCTCAGAAGTCTGGAGACCAAAGGTCAGCTTGCGTTCCGTTCTGCATTTCCTACCCTGAGTGGACTGCACCCATTAGAAGAGAGGATGGGAGTCCCAAGCTAGACTTAGAATCAATCTTTGCTTGGATGTGAGATCAGAATTTTAAAACATTATGGCAAAGCCAGAGTGGGTTATCATGATTTTAAATATAATCCTTCAATCACGAGATGTCAAAAACCAGATGCGAGGGGATAGATTAGTTTGCTTAATGTTTGACTTGAGCCATTCTGAAGTGATAGCAAATCCATCCTGAAAGGAACCATTCTTAAGATTATGGAGCAATTGTGATTTGATTCTCTGTCTTAAGAGTTTGAGTAGGAGAGAAGCTTTTGGTGTGATCGCTTCCCTTCCCATTATGCTTGTTGGGTGCTGTTTTCAAGAAGGAAAAAACAAAGAGAAGTTCTGTAATAAACGGTATGCTGTTATTGATGTGGGCAGCTTTCTGTGCAGAAGGCCACTCTGTTATTAAAGAGTAAGCTGTAATCACTCGAATGAGAGCAGCGGTGACCTCCCTTACCGCCCGCCCCTGGGCTCCCGCAGTCACCTTGTCTGCACCGGGCGCAGGGCTGTCTGCTCCGGGCAGGGGCTGGGTGCTCGGCTCTTAGTGCTTGCTGAATCAGGGACTGTTGACACGGGGAATGGGGCTATTTTCTCAACGTAGTTCCGTTTCCTAGCACTCAGGCCTCAGGGAAACCTACCCAGCATTGCCCTTCTCATCCTCGTGACCCTCTCGCAGCTCCTCCGCATGGCCTCTGAGGACCATCTGAGCAATTCTAAGTCAAAATAAGCCTCTGGGCTAAAAATTTTGACCTGAAATCAGTGTCTTGTTTCTGCACATAGTTAGTAATCGTAGTAAGTTACCTCAGTCTACTTCTGGGTATAGTTTACTTCGATACAGTGACAAAATGTCTCCGTTTTCACTTACCTATTTTCATAGACTGTAAGACTTAATCGGCAAATATCAGAGTTCCTATGAAGATGTTTCCTGTCATTTTAAGTAAAACGGTTTTGGTTCTTCCCTTTTCAATAGGTAATTCGTATCTCCGCCAGAAGCGGAGAGGGCATCACTGAAATGTGGGATAAGATGAGAGAGTTCCAGGACCTCATGCTCGCCAGTGGGGAGCTGATGGCCAAGCGGCAGAGGCAGCAGAAAGTTTGGATGTGGAATCTCATTCAGGAAAGCGTGTTAGAACATTTCAGGACCCATCCCACCGTCCAGGAACAGATTCCTGTTCTGGAAAAAAAGGTTCTCAGTGGGGCCCTGTCCCCAGGACTAGCAGCAGATGTGTTGTTGAAAACTTTTAAAAGCGGAGGCTAAGGAAATTTATCCTATGCAATGATTTTATATATCATTTCATAAAGTATTTTAATATTAAAAGTCACTTGAATGCTTATATTTTTAGTAATTCATTTGTGCTGCCCACGGCCTCGTTTGTGAACCGTGCTTGAAAAGTGGAAGAATGTTAGATATGGCTGGCAAAGGTCAGGCCCCGGGCAGTATTTACAAGGTACCTGTTACATGTTACTGATTTACACTTCTTTCTGTTCTTACACCCTGGCATGGTAGCTGGTCGGAGAGTTCCTTCTCATCAGTCACAAGCAGAGAAGGCTGATGAGAACAGAAAAAGTTTATGTACCTTAAATGTTTTCTTTGATTCTATATTCTCTGAGTTTCCAGAGAAAATGTAAGCAAGAGTGACCACATGTCTAAATTCTTACTTCAGGCCAGAATCACACACAATGGGTTACTAGGAGCTGAAAATCATGACTGATACTTAGTGTACCAGACTATTCGAGGAATTTCTGAAATGACCATGTACATGAGTAACAAAACAAGTAGAATGTGTAGTGATGTGAACACAGTTTTAAAGTCTACTTGTCTAGACTTGTGGACACCCCCATGATAGGTAGGAGAGCCCAGAGGGAGCTGGGAGAAATCAGCTGCAAATCATGTAGCCCATTAATCCCCAAGAGTTGGAGGACACCCTCAAAGGACCCAAGTGAGGTCACAATGATTCAAGGGTTATTCAGTTTGAATATTATCAAAGACTTTTGCTTCTCTTCCTCCTTGGTCATTTGACTTCATATTAGCATCTTAAAAATCTGCCTTACTCCTGATGAGGAGGAACAAGTTTTGTTCCCAGAGGAGGCATGGCACAGGGCTTGGGTTGTGGGGTTGAACTGGGTGGGTTTAAACTTTCAACATAGATCAGTCACTCATTAGCTGTTTAAGTTTGGACAAATAACCTACCTCTGAGTTTCAGTTTCTTCCCTGCTAAAAGGGAACTGACAATGTTAACTTTATAGGGTTGATGAGGATAAATAAGATAACTCAGGACAATCTTTTTGCTACCGTGGTGGTACATAGGAAATACCCAGAGGCTGCTTGCTGTTATTATGTTAGTTATAAATACCTGAAGCTGTATAAGTCTTATATGTACGTTGAGTTTTCTCTCATGGTCTTATGACTACCATCATGCTCTTGTGATATTTTATGATTGTCTTTAAGGTATCTGCTATAGTTAATTCTTTGAATATATTTTATACAGTTTGATGGTAGTTATAAGTATGTACATTTGAATAAAATTATTTCTAACTATAGAATATCTTCATTACACAAAATTTCTTCCCAGAAATTTCAAACCTGTACTATTCTGAGTCCTTTAGAATGTTTTACACAGTATGTCGGTTTTCACTGTTACCTATCTGGAATTAAATTACTTGAGTATTATTTTAGCAAACATTCCACAACTTTATTTTTTATTTTAATTATTTATTTGACAGAGAGAGTGAGAGAGCACAAGTAGGGGAGGGGCAGGCAGAGGGAGAAGCAGACTCCCCAGTGAGCAGGGAGCCTGATGCAGGACTCGATCCCAGGACCCCGGGACCATGACCTGAGCCGAAGGCAGACGCTTAACAACTGAGCCACCCAGGCGCCCCCATAACTTTTTTTTTTTTTAGAGGATTTGTGTTAGTGGCACACTTACATCTTATATGAGGGCTAGGAGAAACCAAAAGATTATCCAGTCAATTCACCTAATTTCAGAAAGGACAACCATTAAACCAGATGAAAAACTGCTTTTGGAATCTTCCAGAGAAAGAATTTCACAATTTCCCTAGTAAACTACTACTACAGGGAAGGACAAACCTGTCATTTGTGGCACAGTGTACATAGCAGTCAAGCACATGTGCGCTGCCTCATGAAGAGGGTGGCAGAAGGATGGCTTTCGTTAGCCCTCCATTTAGCTATGCATTTCTTCTCAGTTTGAATTACTTTTAAATGATACAAATACAGTCATAAAAAGCATTAGAAACCCCCCTTGTCCTCTTTATGTTGTTATTGTACCACTGGCTATAGTGTAGAGACCAATTTCTAAGTTACCGTTTCCCTTTATTTCTGTTACTTGCTAAACTGGCAGCTGTATAATAGACTAAAATGTTTGTGGCCTTAAAAAAAAAAAAATCCATGCTCCCTTTCGTTAAGCTTGAAAATGCCATCCTTCCGTGCCATCTGTGAATCTACCACGCTAAACCCTTGACCTGGACAAAAGCATAGGTATTGACTTGGATGTACGTAGTCAGATTTCAGCTGTCCTAACTAGCCACATGATTCAGGGCAGGTTTTTTCTCTTTTGTATGCACCCATTTCCTTGTATTTAAAATTAAGGTAAGAATAGCTACTGCACAGGGCTTTTGGAATAATTAAATGAAAGGTTGTATGGGAAATGCCAACACTCAGTAATTGGTAGGTGTTGGGAATATTATACATGGATACTCGTGGCAGCTCGTTGTTCTGTAAAACAGACTAGCATCAATTTAATTTGGCCAAACTACTTAATCTCCCTATGTCCCAGTTTCCTCGTTATTAAATGGGGTTGATAATGGTGTCCACCCAGAGTTGTTGAAAGGACTATTTTAGTTAATATACACACAGTGCCTGGACGTAGTAAGTGCTAAATAAATATTTAAAGAGTAAAATATTTAACGCCTGAGGGTTGTTTTAAGGATTAAATGAGTTAGTCTCCCCCTATCTTAAAAGAATAATTCTTTTCTGAATAAAGCCTCCTAGGTTGATTTTGCCTTTGTCAAAAGCATAATTACCATTAATTTCTGTAGGTAGATAAAAAGGTGCTCTGTTCTAAACTGAGCTCCAAAATTGACAGACATTTTGCTACAGCAGTACCAAATTTCATTAAATTGACTACAATTACTTGTACAGTTAGAGCTGCAGTTAACATTACCTATCACAATACAACCTAGCAAGGAGTTCTCTTCATAATCACTCCATAATATGGCTGTTTAGTTCTTGACCTGAGCACGTGTCGCGGTTGGAGCTCCAGTATACAATGAAGACAAAAGCAAACGAACAACATGCATCCGATACTCAGTGTTCATGCAGTTTAACCTGTCATACAGAAAAAAAAGAGAAAAAAATCAATGAAAACAATGGTAACATTCCGCTCACCCAGTAGATTGCCATCATAGAAGTCATGACTCTACTGCTAAAAATTAGTAAACTACAAGGAATTTGAGAAGTGAAACAACTAATGTGATTTCTACGTTCTTGCAGATGGTGGAGCTCAGCTGCTCCTGAAGCCTGAGAATACCACGTGGGACTTCATAAAACGCAAATGTTTCCTTAGACAGACTTTAGATAACCCCTTGGGAAGTCGAGCTCTCGTCCTCTAAGGGGTACATTTAGGGCACCACTATAACTCATGTCGAGTGTTGGAATGGTGTCTGGGACTGGTACTTGCTAAATGTTAGCATCGTTACTCAGGTAAAACTAGGGAAATGAGCAAGTCAAAATTTTCCTTGAAAAAGAAAAATCAAAAAGAGACTATCCTGTTTGTTTTTCTTTCCTTGCACTATAATTTATGGACTTTTTAAAACCCACTTGACATACATGCTTGGTGACAATTCCTGCTCCATGAAGTTCATATACGTTCACCTTTTTGGTCATCAGTGGTAGCTTGGATGACAAAATATTAGAGTGGCACAAAAGCAGTTATAAATTACTGAATTTTTTTTTCAGAAAAAAAATTTATACTATGAAATGTAGATGATGCCAGTGTGAGTCGAAGTATATTAATATTTACCTGAAAATATGATGCATAAAGGGTAACCTTGGGGCAATTTACATTTTTAAAAAAGATTTTATTGATTTAATTGCCAGAGAGAGAGTGCATGCACAAGCAGGGGGAGCGACAGGCAGAGGGAGAAGCGGGCTCGCCGCTGAGCAGGGAGCCTGATGTGGAACTTGATCCCAGGACCCTGAGATCATGACCTGAGCCCAAGGCAGACACTTAACCCACTGAGCCACCCAAGAGCCCCACTTTCCATTATTTTATTTTTTTTTAAGATTTTTTTATTTATTTGACAGAGACACAGCAAGAGAGGGAACACAAGCAAGGAGAGTGGGAGAGGGAGAAGCAGACTCCCCACTCAGGGAGCCTGATGCGGGACTTGATCCCAGCCCAAGGCAGACGCTTAATAACCCACTGAGCCACCTAAGCGACCCAGGGCAATTTACTTTGCTTAGCCATCTCTGCTTCTTGGTGGGAGTGAGGTGAGGGCACATGAAAGTCAGTGAACTATTTTACCCACAGCAGGGCTTAATGCTTAATCTCAATTACTGTTGCTTTTAACTAACACAGAGGAAATCATGTGACCTCTTCCTCAAAGCTCTGTAACATCTGCCTGGCCAATCGTAAGGTGTGGTTAGAAGCCCATAGAAGAAGATCTTAGGATGACAATAAAGCCATTTACCGGGCTCATACTTGAATGCCAAATCTTGTTACATACAGAACCCAACTATTTCAAGGATTAACTCTCTTTTCTTATGAATAAAATCATATTAGGGTTACACTCAAATTTTGCTGACTTGAGATTCCATCATATCATGCAGGAATCTCAGTCCCCTGGAAAGTCCTCTTCTCACGTATTTTTGGAAGTCCCAGGGGTTCCTCACTGATATACAAACAAGCTCACACTCTTGGGTGCAGCGTGCCCCTCCCAGGCTTCTGTTGGGCCTCCATTATTTTAATTGCTGCTGTGCCTATAGGAGAATGCCGCCTTGCTTAGATGTTTCCAAACTGTGAAACTCCTTAAGTTCCCCAAATAGTGCTGTGTTCCCAGAGAACAGAATCCTTGCCTCTCTCCTCATAGGGCCCCGTGGGCTGGAGTAGAGACCAATTAACCATACCATTTCTCATTGTACTTAGCTCTCCTGTCTCCTTCCCCAGGACTTAAGCACATAATCTCTGCAAAAAACTTGTTCCTCACAAGTCCCCTTTTCAAAATGTCTATCAACTCCTGCAAAAGAGGCCTGGGTAGTTGGCAGTCCCTCCTTTTCTGGCAGATCAACCTTAGGTTGAGTCATGATCTTCCAGCT